TTTCTCCGATGAGAAAACCATCGTTGTCCAGCAGTTTTTAAACAAACAAAATGACCGTGTTTACTTGCTAAAGTGGTCAGCTGAAAATGTTCACCTTCGGTTGGCCAACAGAACTCATGAGCCGGCCATGGTGATGGTGTGGGCCGATGGTCGACCGTGGTATCAGAATAAATGCGGAAAATTACCGCGAAAATATTCTGGAGGGTGTATTAAAGCATTGGGCACGCAAACATTTTGCCCGCAGACCTTGGACATTCCAACAGGACTCAGCACCATCGAAGAATGGTTACAAAATGAGGTTCCTCGTTTCATTTGCAGCGCACAATGGCCACCAAAATCTCTGGATATTAATCCGTTGGACTATCGTTTCTGGCGTACTTTGAAAAGCAAGGTTGGCACTTAAAAATACCAACGTGTCGATCACCTCTAGCAAGCGCTTCGCCGGGAATGGACCAAAGTACAGCAAAGCAACATTCGAACAGCGTGTGATGGTTTCATTGGCCGTTTGAAGGCCATAAGTCCTGCCATAGGTGACCAATTCGAACAAATCGTAACATATTCTAAAATTGATGCTATTTCCCACATTTTTTGCTTTCATTCAATGAAATTTAAAAAAGAAAAAATTATGGCGTTTGACTTTGTTGCAGTTTTTTTTATCTCACCCTGTATGTCTGCAGGACTTTTGGTACTGAAAATGAACGTTGTAGGTCCAAGTTTTGGTATAGCCCCCATATAATGGTACATCCCTTTTGTTTGTAGATTTTGGCTACATTATTCACCGGAATTGTTTCAAATTTGGTATTTGAAGTTCGTTATAGATACTACAGTCTATGACAGAAAATTATCTGTGCAGGTTTACGTCTTCGTATAGTCCCCATATAACGGTACCTCCCGATATTTGGTATTTTGGTGATTTCAGCAACATTATTCACCGAAATCGTTTCAAATTTGGTATTGGAAGATCTTAATGGGTGCTACAGCCTATGAAAGAAAATTGTCTGTACCGGTCCACGTCTTCGTATAGTCCCAATATTATGTATTTTGATGATATTAGCTACATTATTCACCAATTCGTATATCCTCCACCATAGTATGGAGGGTATATTAAGTTTGTCTTCCCGTTTGTAACACCTCGAAATATACATTTTATACCCTACAAAGTATATATGGAGGGCTCACTGCTATACCGAACCAAGTCATGAAAAATAAAAAATGGCGAAATTAGTGCCAATGTCCCGGTATATGGAAACTCTGTTTACTCTGTAAAGCACAATGTCAAAAAGTGTTTCGTTCCAAAGGTAACGGTAAAAAAACCTAAGTCAACGACTGTGATTTTCGACTTTTTTCAAAGCAAAAATGAACCAAGTCAGTGTGTTTCACTTTGAATCAATACTATTAGTGAGCCCGTGTTTATTTTCGTTCAGTTTTCAGCAATATTAAAAAAATCAGAGTTTTCTACAAATGGATAGTAATAATAGCAGTGCTAGTGATTTTTCCTGTAATGAAGATGAGGAATATTTGCCAGCTCCAAAAATGATGAAGACGGAAATGACGATTTTTTTATGTGTAAATATTTGTTGAAACCATGGTAAAATTAAGAAGGTAAAGTCATTTCAAATAAGCATATCTGCATTTTGTGTAATTTACTCTGTCAAATTTCCCTGCCTAAAAAGCAGATTCCCATCTCTGATTTATATGTACAATGGATTTATAAATATACATTTTGACAATGAGATGTTGTCAAATCCATAACTTTGAAAAAAAAAACAAGTAAAAAAAGCTGTAAGTTCGGCCGGGCCGAACTTTGAATGCCCTCCACCATTTGGTACAAATTTGGCAATTTTCAAAAAATTAAAATCCATTAAAAACAATTTTAAAATCTTAAAAATACCGAATGTAGCCGAATGTATGTATGTTAGAGGCTATGCGAAAACGTGGACCTGCACAGACAATTTTCTGTTATAGGCTGTAGTATTCATTACGAACTTCAAATACTAAATTTGAAATAGTTCCGGTAAATAATGTCGCGAAAATCATCAAAATACCGCATATCGGGAGGTACCGTTATATGGGGGCTATACGAAGACGTGGACCTACATGGCCCATTTTCAATACCAAAAGACTTGCAGACAAAATACACATTTGAGTAAATTTTTATCAACTTACTTCATTTCGTTTGGATGCTAGAGTGGTTTCCACAGACGGATAGACGGACAGCCGGACCTACCTCGCTAAATCGACATAGAATTTTATGCTGATCAAGAATATATATACACTATGGGTTTTAAAATGTATATTTCGACGTCTTACAAACGGAATTACAAACGTAATACACCCTCCATACTATGGTGGAGGGTATAAAAATGTAAACATATAATTTCATGACTTTACCTTCTTATTTCTGCCATAGTTGAAACCTTAAATTTTCCTTTGTCCTTGTTAACATTAATTTATTTAAAAAAAAAGAATTTATTTTATTTTCCTAAAATCACAATGATTGTCAATTACAATAGAAGCACCCGCAAGACATGACTTAAAATAAAACTCCGAAACTCGAGGGAAATTAATCGCTAAAGTCAACTATATTTAGTCATATAACGAACACTTTATTTTATTTTTTTTTGACTTGGTTCGCTTTAGCTGTGAAACCTTGAAATTTTATTTAGAGTAATAATGAACCAAAGTAGATTTTTTTTGTTTTTGAATATTTTTTAGTACTATATTTAAATTATTTTTATTTTAAATTAATATCATTAGTTAATTTTGAATATAGACTTTTACATTTTCTTTTGGTAGACTACAATATTCCTTCCAGAAATTAATGGCAGTGCATTTACTTTACCTCTAAATAACCTCGAATTATGTTTTTATGACTTAGTTCGGTATAGCTGTGAGCCCTTCATATATTCTTGATCAGCATAAAATTCTAAGTCGATTTAGCGATGTCCGTCCGTCTATCCGTATGAGGAAATCACTCAAGCTTCCGAACGAATTGAAGTAGAATAATAAAATTTTACTGAAATGTATATTATGTTTGCAGGACTTTTGGTATTGAAAATGGGCCATGTAGGTCCACGTTTTTCGTATAGCCCTCATGTAACGGTACCTGCCGATATTCGGTATTTTTATAATTTCGGCAACATTATTCATCAGAATTCTTTCAAATTTAATATTTGAAATTCGTAATGGATACTACAGCCTATGACAGAAATTTTTGTATGCAGGTTCACGTCTTCGTACCTCCCAATATTCGGTACTTTGTTGATTTTAGCGACATTATTCACCGGAATTCTTTCAAATTTGGTATTTGATGTTTGTAGTGGATACTACAGCCTATGACACGTCTTTGTATAGCTCCCATATAACAGTACCTCCCGATATTCGGTATTTTTGATGATTTTAGCTACATTATTCACCGATTTTTTTCAAGTTTCGCATTTTAATTGCTTATGACAAAAGTTTCCTATAAAGGTCCACGTTGTCGCATGGACCCTAATATAACGGCTAAATTCGGTATTTTTAAGTTTTAACAGAATTTTTAGCGGATTTTATTTTTTGGAAAATTGTCAAATTCGTTCCAAATGGTGGAAGTTATTTAGTGTTCTGCCCGGCCGAACATACAGCTTTTTTTACTTGTTCATGCGCCCAAGAAAATATTATTTGTCATTCACTTTTTTTCTGATCGAAAAACACAATATTTTCAGGTATTATTTTTTTTTCACTGAGAAAATAATAAATTCTCCCCCTCATGTGAGACAAGTAGCATATGGGATTACATATTTTAAATTACCTTTAACTTTTAGTTATTAATTCCACACACCATTTTAAATTAAATCTGAATAAATACTTTACCCAACTTAAATTTCATTATTGACAATTTGCCCTTTTAAGGTCTAAACGCAAAAATAGATGTCCCCATTTGAACAATGGAATTGTTTTTGCAAATTCAGCACACAAGTGTTGTTAGCGGTCGTGTGAGTGTGTGTGTGTGTGTGCAGTTGGCCCATTGATAGAAAACGAACGATATTATTTATAGGTCAAAAGGATTTGTTCGCACACATACCAATGGTCAACACACAGTTTGACACACACACTCAACTCATGTAGTTGTTGACGCCCAGCAAGCAAAATCTATCCACCAACTCACTTAGAAGTCACGCCTAAGCGATTGAAATCATCGCGTCTGATATCGCTTTCTCACCCCGGAAGGATCATCCTTCGGGAAGAGATGAACCACGCCCGCGATAGTTTTCTAAAAATCGTGGAAGTCACTTCCTCGATAGTTATTGGAAGTGAAAAAACAAAAAAAAAGTTTTTTACTCCAGACTTAAGCATTTATTATTTTTTTTATTGTTATTGTTACGTTTTCCAATGTTAATTTACATAGAACTCTTACTTATTAGATGAAATATTCAAACATTTTTTTTTTTTTTTCGTTTTAAAAATGTGATGTCTGGATTGGGAATCGAACCGAGGTGTTCAGAGAGCAAAGCCGACATGCTTACCACTGCGCCACGGTGTCTTATATTCTTCAGATAGAATAAAGTCTTATTTATGTTCAATTCGTAAATAATGGCAAACTATCACTCTTTTATCCGATGGCAGTCATTAGATAGTGTCTGCACACGAGACACCTTCTTTTAACTTTCTTGCGCCACTAAGTAGTAACTACGTGACGATAGAAAGTAGACAACAGTAGTTTTGTTATTGTAAATCTACATACTATCGCATTTATTAGGATTAGAAGCGTCGCAGAAGTGGCATCTTGAAATGGAAGTGAGTCACTCACTTCCAAATGCTTGCTGGGCGTGGACATGGACAATGGATTCGTTGTTTACATTCTCACAAAGCAAAGAAAAGCAAAACAAAACAACGAAGGCAAAAAACAAAAAACAATCCTTTATCAATTCATACCGATATAAACATTGAATATTCCAATATAGGTTAGGTTATGGTTTCAAAAGAGAGAAGGAGGAGGAGGAGGAGAAATAATAGCTCACAATGGATTTTGGATTTGTATTCAGCCAGACGTTACAAACTTGGCGGTGTTGATGTTGTTGTTGTGGTGGTTTTGTTTGAGTGCGCTGTAAACCCAAAGGCAATTAATTTGTTTCTTTGTTGCAAATTTTTAACAGAACTTTTATTCTGACATTTAACCATGGGGGTTTGAATTTATGCTAAAACACACTTTTTATTTCTTTCATTTACAGCTTGTTACTTCATTTTTTGTTGTGATGGAGGAGAGGGGGGGGGGGGGGGGGGGGGGTGGTGCTACTTTTCCTTTGTTTATTTTTTCCTTTAATTTGAGAAATCACAATTTTCAAACATCACTTTCAACACTTCATGATCGCACACACACACACATAGAACAAAGTAAATATATATATGTTTTCTATATCATCGGTTATCCGTTGCCGTACCGTTACTTTCTTTTGTATTATCCTCTTGGAATTGGAACTTTTGAATTTTCTTCCGTTTTCAAGTACCGTTCACTTCGACAATCGTTCTAAGACTGATTTGTTTGCCATCGAAATTGCAACATATATTTCAGCAACTTATTTTTTTTTTAAATGGTATGATGTTTGAAGCAGACAAACGACCCACGATTGTTGGTCACGACAGGATGTTGAGTGCATTCGGTTAACTTGCCACAGAGTAGAGTAACAACAACGTGGTTTGGCTAAACTTGAAATTGCCAACAAAAACACAACGTGTTGTAATAGAACATATGGAAATTGTAAAATAACACAACATGTTTTACGCTGAGAACAACAAACATGTTTGATGTTCAAAGAGAAAGGAGACTATTGAGGAGCATGCGTAGTTTGAAATTAGCAAGGATTTACACCAATATGCATTTTATTTTCAAAAATGAAATAATTTTGGCAGTTTGGTCTGGAAGCATTATAATTGTTCGGAGAATAATTTCTCAAGAGCTAATAGGCCAGAATACCCTGCCCACGAAATAATATCAATTTTTTCGACTATTCATAGCCTCAGTCATATGGCTGCAAAGGGTATTTATCATTAAATGTGACCAAGTCTTGCTTTATTGAAATAACGGTTTTAAATCCTAGGTCTCTTTGGACTAAATCCGTTTCAGGACATTTGGAGTCGATCTAGCTATGTCCGTCCGTCTGTCTGAATAGTTAGCACGAAAACTGTAGAAAGGATAATCCGATTTGGTTCAAACTTGGTACATCTTAACATTATTATCAAATTTAGATCTTCTTCGGAGATGAACAATATCGGTCCACTCCGTCTGGTATCTCCCACACAAAAGGTCGAAAATTTTAAAGAATATATTTTACTGCACAGAAGGAGAAAAGAAAATCGGATTTTGCTCCAACTTTGCGAATCCTAATATTTGCATCAGTGCTAGGTCAGGTTCGAAAATTGACAATATCGGTAGACTCCATCAAGTACCTTCCTCTAAAATCGTCAAAGTTATGAAAAATAAAACTCCTATGAAATGTTATACAAAACTCCGAATATCGTTAGTTTACACACCTCACAAAATTTTTGTTAACCGAACGTCTGAAGAGGAGATGAAATATATCGGTCTACTCCTTCTGGTACCTCCCCACAAAGGGGCAAACATTTCGAATAATCAAAAACGATTGTAAAATCCAAAATTAGCATCCGGTTCTCTTCAAATCTCACACATCCCATTAATTCTACTAACACATGATCTGTTATGAAAATGGGATATATCAGTCCACTCCTTCCGGCACTTCCCTCACAAAGGGTCAAAGTTTTGAATAACCAAAACAATTATAAAATCCGAAGTAAGCATCTGGTTTTCTTCATAATTAATAATAAGATGTTATTTCTACTAACACAGGAACTGTTGTGAAGATGGAATATATTGATCCACTCCTTCTAGTACTTCCCCCACAAAGGGTCAAAACTTTGAATATTCTTGAAGCTTATAAAACACGAAATTAACATCCGATTCTATTTAGACCTGGTATATCCCAATATTTCCATCAAAACAAGATTTGTTATAAAGATGCTAGAGATAGGAACACTTTTTCGGGTACCTCCCCCACAAAGGGTCAACGTTTTGAATAACCAAAAGGATTGAAAAATTCGAAATAAGCTTCCGGTTCTCTTTATAATTTATAATGGGATGTTATTTCTACTAACACAGGAACTGTTGTGAACATGGAATATATTGATCCACTTCTTCTAGTACCTACCCCACAAAGGGTCAACATTTTGAATATGCATTAAGCTCATAAAACGCGAAATTAACATCCGGTTCCATGTAGACTTGGTACATCCATATATTTCCATCAACTTAAGATCTGTTATAAAGATGGTAGAGTTCGGACCATTTTTATCTGGTACTTCCACTACATCGAATTGAAGATTTTAAAAAATAAAACGCCCAAAGCGAAATAAGCATCCAACTCTCTTTAAATTTCACTCATACAACATTTTTGCAAATACAAGATCTGTTGTGAAGATGGGATATATCGGTCCATTCACTCTAGTACCTCCCCCACAAAGGGTCAAAGTTTTGAATAACCTAAAAGATCATAAAATCCGAAATAAGCATCCGGTTCTTTTCATCTTCCACACTTCTCAATATTTCTACTAAGACAAGATATGCTGTAAAGATGGGATATATCGGTCCACGCCTTATGGTACCTCCCTCACAGAGGTTCAATAATTTGAATATCCATGAAGCTCATCCTTTGTTACGAATTATGACCTTCAAATGGCCAATGAAACCGTCACACGCTAACCGAAAGTTGCTCTGCGGTATTTTGGCCCATTGCCGGAGCCCGAAGCGCTTACTTGAGGTGATCGACACTTTGGTATTTTTTAATGCCAACCTTGCTTTCCAAAATACCTCAAGCACAATAGTCCAACGGATTGGTATCCGGAGATTTTGGTGGCCATTGTGCGATGAAAATGAAGCGAGGAACCTCATTTTGTAACCATTCTTGGTTGGCACGTGCCGACTTCGATGGTGCTGACTCCTGCTGAAATGTCAAGCTCTGCGGCCAAAATGTTTGCGTGCCCAAGACTTTAATACACCCTCCAGAATATTTTCGCCATAATATTCGTCATTTATTCTGATTCCACGGTCGATTAATACGAGCCGGGAGATACCATCGGGTGTTATGGCGGCCCACACCATCACCATGGCCGGCGCTTGAGTTCTGGTGGCCAACCGATGGTGCACATTTTCAGCTGACCTCTGTGGCAAGAAAACACGATCATTTTGTTTTTTGTTGTTTACAAACTGCTGGACAACGAATGTTTTCTCATCGGCCAAGGGAGAACTCTTTAGCTGTTTTGAGTCTATTTTCTTTCTGTTGCGGTGTAAGCTCTTGCACTTTTTGGAATTTCAATGGCTTTACCCCGAGTTTATTTTTCAATATATGCCGAAGGGAATATTGCAATATATTCAGCTTACGAGCCATTTTTCGGCCACTGCGACATGGGCTTCGATCAAGTCGCTTCTTTAGTTTTTGAACCATTTCTGCTGATGTATTAGTTTTCTTCCGTCCACTTTCTTGACGTCTACTACTGATTAAAATTTTGCTATGGACAAAGCTACAAGAAAATCGAACATTTATAATCAATTTTATGCGAAATCACAAATTCCGGTACAGTCCATATTCACCTCAGGTTTCTGATTGAGAAATATATTTAGATATAATAAGTTGTAAAGGATAGCTGACTTTTGGTCGCAATTTATGACAGCTATAAGTATTGGAAATTTACCTATACCTATAGTCTTCACAACAGAGTTTGCGTTAGCAAATATATTTGGATGTATCAAATTGCAAAAGTGAAGTGTGTGACTATTTTTTTGTCCTTATATATATATATATATATATATATATATATATATATATATATATATATATATATATATATATATATATATATATATATGATTTTCCTACCATATATCTCATATAAAGTGAAGGAATTAACCCAAATAGTCCATACACCTATATATTTATATCATATTTATATAAGTCCAATAGGAAATGGACAATACTGGCCCATCTCTGCGGAAACTGCTTCATAGAGGGTCAACAATTCGAATAATCATAACACAAGTCAAAATATATTTTAATAATCGAACATTGGCTGTGGGTATACATCTGTCGGCATAACCGACTGATACTTTTGAACTTGTTTTTTTTTTATATCCTCCACCATGGTATGGAGGGTATATTAAGTTTGTCATTCCGTTTGTAACACCTCGAAATTTACATTTTAGACCCCACAAAGTATATATATTCTTGATCAGCTTAAAAATTCTATGTCGGTTTAGCGTTGTCCGTCCGTCTGTTCGTCTGTGGAAATCACTCTGGCTTCCGAATGAATCGAAGTAGATTGATAAAATTTCACTCAAATGTATATTATGTCTGCAGGACTCATGTTAAAATGGCCCATGTAGGTCCACGTATTCGTATAGCCCCCATATAACGGTACCTTCCGATATTCGGTATTTTGATGATTTTAGCGGCATTATTTAACGGAATTATTTCAAAGTTGGCATTTGAAGTTTGTAATAGGTACCACAGCCTAAGACAGAAAATGAGCCAAGCAGGTCTACGCATCTTCGTATTGTCCCCATATAACGGTAACTCCCGATATTCGTTACTTTGTTGATTTAAGCGACATTTTTCACCGGAATTCTTTCAAATTTATTATTTGAAGTTCGTAATGGATACTATAGCCCCCATATACCTCCCAGTACCTCCCGATATTCGGTAATTTGATGATTTTAGCGGCATTATTCACCGAAATTCTTTCAAATTTGGTATTTGAAGTTTGTAATGGATATTACAGCCTAAGACAGAAATTTGTCTGTGCAGGTCTACGTCTTTGTATAGTCTTCGTATATTCGGTACTTTGTTGATTTTAGCGACATCATTCACCGGAATTCTTTCAAATTTATTATTTGAAGTTCATAATGGATACTATAGCCCCCATATACCTCCCGATATTCGGTATTTTGTTGATTTTAGCGACATTAATCACCGAAATTCTTTCAAATTTGATATTTGAAGTTCGCAATGGAAACTACAGCCTAAGACAAAAAAATTGTCTGTGCTGGTCTACGTATCTTCGTATAGCCCTCATATAACGGTACCTCCCTATTCAATATTTTGACGATTTTAGCTACATTATTCCACGATTTTTATACCCTACACCACAAGGTGGTCAGGGTATTATGTCTTTGTGCATTTGTTTG